AAGGCGACTAGACAAGGAATTGGGAAGGGAAAAGAGAGTAAGAGAAGAGGATTTATGGAGACGGACAGTAACAAAGGCAGTAGAAGTTACGCTGATCTTCAGAAAGCTACACATTACATCGAATGTAGTTATTGGGATCAACGGATTCAAAGGATAGACAGCAGGAGAGAAGTGCGAGGTTGCCGACGCAGCGGAGTCACGGCGATGAAACGGGAAAGGTAGGGGCGCCAGAAGCTTTATTGAAATTTATGAAGTAGGAGAGAGAGAAGGAGAAAGGGAGGGAAGAAGGGAGAAAACGAGAGGGATAGGAAGAAGTAGGGGGAAAGGGAGAAGGAGAAGGCGTGGGAGGCACCTAAGGTGAAATGTATAATGAGTCTGAAGGAAGGTCAATAAACTTATTTGCAATAATGAAATGGCACTGCAAAATGTAATGGCACAGCGGGGGACATTCGTGCATCGAGGAGACGCGATGCCCGGGTTTGGGCGTGAAGGCGGAGGACAGGATGCAAGGCGACAGGTGCAACCCCAAAGGATTTGCCTAAATGTTGGGAGAGCCTTGCAGCAGGAAATATACTAAGAGAAAGGAGAATAATGCAGAAAAAATAAAGTAAGTTCACACAAATGCATTCTTTCATCGGTCCTTGGATTCTTGCTTTGAATTCAGCGCCTTCCTCTCCCTCCGTTTTTGTTTCCTTTCTGCCTTGTTGCAGCGAGATTTCCTTCTTCCTTTCCCCTCCTCCTCAGGCGAGGTACTTTTTCCCTTCTCCCTCGCCTGTCGTAATTCTCTGGCTTTTCTTCTTTCTTTCTTTTTCTGTAGTCTGACTCTTCCTTTCTCCTTACGCCTTCCCATTCTTTCTCCTTCTTCCTTCCCGTGCTGCCTTCTCCTCTCTGTCCTTCAACCTCTATTTCACCCTTTCCCTCCTTTCCACCTTTCTTTTTACCACACTCCATTTCCATTTTCCTTCCCCTTTCCCACATTCTCACCCTTCCCCTCGCTCCCTCCACTACCCCCTCCCTTCGTATCACCTATAACCCCACTCATTCCCTCTCTCCCTCTCTCCCTCCCCTCTGTTCATTTCTCTACAGTGAACTCCCCATTTGCATTTTCCTTGACTCGCAGCCATCCCGTAACAATAAAATACTCGACGATCCATAAGCGTTATGATCCCTTCGAGTATTGTAATTGAGGAGACAAAAGGTGGAAGTTGGAGCAGTGGAGCTCTCGCCATCCGCCTCTCTCGTGGGTCGCTCTGCTCTATTCTCTTCCCTCCTCGCTTGTCCTTCACTTCGATGCGGGGAAGATGGGGTCGAGGAAGAAGAGGGGGAGAGAGAGCTTTGTCAAGAGACAGAGGCTCTAAATGGGAAGGGAAAGGGAGAGAGAGAAAGGAGTTTGGGAAGGAGGTCGGGAGGAGAGAGAAGAGGATGCATAGAAGAGTAGTACATCAGCAAGAGATTGAGATGAAGACGCATAAGGTATTGATAATCTTGAAGCTCAGGTCAGAGATTTTCAGGAAAATAAGTCAGACTAGCCGTAACACGATATTATATGAAAAGGCAGACAGGCTGAGCACAGAGGATCTCGACTAAAGGGAGAGTTTAAGCCAAGCGAAATCTGGTCACTGCTAGGAAGTCCCCCTCCTCCCCATGACCAAAAACGAAGCTTATTTCGACTTTGCCTATGACATAGCACCCTACACCTACGGCGACCTAGCTCAGAAAAAAGAACGGGACAGAACTCAGGTCAGTCTCCCACAGAAAGGGGGAAAAGGTACACAATACTTTTCTTGCTATTTAAGTCTCCAACTTGACGCGTAACTACCTCAGCCTTAAACATAAAAGGACTAAGTTTGAAGACTTCAAGTCCTTCAGCACAAAAATCTGCTTCTTTTTTTCTTTACCTCCCCTCCTTCCTTCCGTTAAAATCCACGATAAAGCTGAGGAGGAAAAGGTAGAATTTTGAAGTAACTATGGAAATTCTAAGAACTTGATTTAACCCAAGGAGTGTTAGGGAGGCCACCTTTTATGTGCCAGGGGAGGGAACATCAGGCTCTATGTATGAACAACAATGGGGACTTCCTGAGACAAAAGATGGGCGCCCTATTTTGGCCCTGAAGGCGAGTGTGTGTGTCACAGATCTCATATTAAATTATTTGCTTTGAGTATACATAGGCTGAAGGAATATAATAGAATAATACACAGGGTCTGCTCTCCTTGATCTCACTCTGTGTTTGTTCTTGTATATATATGTGTGTATGTGTGTGTGTGTGTGTGTTGTGTGTGTGTGTGTGTGTGTGTGTGTGTGTGTGTGTGTGGTGTGTGTGTGTGTGTTGTGTGTTGTGTGTGTGTGTATGTGTGTGTGTGTGTGTGTGTGTGTGTGTGTGTGTGTGTGTGTGTGTGTGTGTGTGTGTGTGTTGTGTGTGTGTGTGTGTGTGTGTGTGTGTGTGTGTGTGTGTGTGTGTGTGTGTGTGTGTTTTACATATGCATGGATGGATATATAGATATATAGATAGATAGATAGAGAGAAAGTTAAATTGGTAGGTAAGTAGGTAGGTAGGTAAGTAGGTAGGTAGGTAGGTAGGTAGGTAGAAAGAAAGAAAGAAAGAAAGGAGGAAGGAAGGTAGGTAGAGAGAGACAGATAGATAGATAGATAGATAAATAGGTAAGTAGGTAAATAGCTAGGTAGGTAGGTAGGTAGGTAGGCAGATTGGTAGGTAGGTAGGCAGATTGGTAGGTAGGTAGGCAGGTAGGAAGGTAGGTAGGCGGGTAGATAGGTATATAGATAAATGATGGATTGTTAGATCGGTAAATAACTAGGCAGACAGATAAACAGACTGACAGATAGAAAGATACATAATATAAATTGAGAATTTGTCTCTGTGTACGTGTCTCTGCGAGTGGCACTTCGAGCATTTGAAAACAGTGATCTAAGGGGACCGGGGAGAGATACTAAAAATATGCACGTGTTTGAGCTCTTTATGCATAATTTAACGGGGCGAGACTGCCTAACACCCGTGCTAAGTGGGAAACAAAACGTAAATCTCTCACAAAGTGCAAATCTAAGACTCGCAAAGAACTCCGGTAGTACCCAGGGTTGGCACAGTAATATCATAGCACGGGCCTAGTTTATGGCTACCTACAATGTGAATACAAACACACACCACCACCTATAAAAGTGAATGATTGCAATAGTCTCCTAGGAGCTGAGCTCTGGCCCCGTTAAGGGCTGCGAATATATCTTCAACATTTCTCCATGTGCGATATTTTTGGGAGCAAAGATATATATATGTAATTTTTTTCTCTTTCTCGTTTGTATATGAAACATATGGCAGACTCGCCAATACCTGTAAGTCTGAGAATGTTACTTTCTATCCACACGCGTCCATCTCCGGTTCACAACAGCAAGGAAGGATATGCAATGATGCAACATAAAGCATATTAGATCCCTTCACATCCAAAATATACAGTCTATGTATATTCTCCATTGATGATTCATATAAAGACAGTGTAAACATTGAACAAAAAATCGATTCACAATTGATCATCTCACTATGGCGGTGGCTACCAGCCTTAAAGAATGGCTGTCCCAACGGCGGGAATACGTAAGTTGTACATACTTCATGAATGCTAAGGGTTAGTACATCAAGTGTAACGCCATCTACGAAATTTATATGACTAGTTACCACCCGGTGCGCATAAGTAATTGCAGTTTTGGGGTCAGATTCAGGCACGTTTACAATGAGGAATGACGAAGAATTAACCGCAGTAATCTGTCCTAGGCCTTTGAACGGCGCCGGGCACGCTCGATCTCGGTGGCTTACTATGAAAAGAGGAACTGGATAAAACGGAGGAAATAAAACCAATAGAAGTGAGAAAAGAACGAGTGATAACTGTCTATGTGGTAAGGTGAATCCTGAGAGAGACAGGGAGATGGAAAGGAGGGAGAGAGGAGAG